GTTCTGCTTATAATAAACACAGACAATACAGAACAAAGTAACTAAAAAAATAAAAATAAAATAAAATAAGATAATCCCTACCTACCGACCCTAATTTTTTCTGGACTGAAACAGGAAACACAACATTTTTTTTCCTTGGCCTTATCAAGTTCACTGTGCTGTAAAATTAGAAACGTGTTTTGAGTGTATCGTACCAGTACCAGTACCTATATGTATACCTGTCCATGTGTGGCTGTCCCCTTCAGGAGAACTACCTGGTTTCTATATCGTAACAAAGTTAACTGTGCTGAAACATTAGACTTGTGTGTTTGAGTGCAATGATAGCATTTATGTACAAGTCCATGTGATTGTCTATCCCCTTCAGGAGAACTACCTGACTATTTTAAAGATATGTTTTATGAAAGTTTACTGTGCTGTAATGTTAGATGTCCATATTCCCTTCAGGAGAACTACATTGTACCTGGTTTCTATATTTTCTATAACTTATAGTATAAGTTCACTGTGCTGTAAAATTAGAAATGTGTTTTGAGTGTAATGTACCAGTAACTATACATGTCTGTGCTTTTAGGAGAACTACCTGCCTGAAGTACCTGGTTTTAGCCAACATGTTGATGAAGTCAGGGATCAACCCTTTCGACTCACAAGAGGTAACTTCAGCTTCAAAACTTAACAGATGAGAAAGGCTTGTTCTTCAGTTCTGTTTTGAAATTTGTGTGCACAAATAAGACAAAAGCGTTCTTCAAAGATCCATGTAGGTTGACCAGTTTCTCTGGAATTTGCCTAACTCGGATGGATCTATGACTTTTGTAAATCAAGGATTGCATTGTTATGTCCAGCAACAAGCATGATCAATTGTTAACCTTGTAAATGTTTTTTTTTTACAGGCTAAACCATACAAGAATGACCCAGAGATACTGGCAATGACAAATCTAGTTAGGTCAGTACCAGTTTCTTCAATGTTGTGCATTAATGTGCACATCACCTGGTAAAATGCTTTATGTTGTAACTTCTAATAGTTCAGTTTACTGGAAATTTTCGGGACTGACTGTCCCCTTAGCTGCTAGAATGACAATGATTTTTCCATTTTCTGTTTCAGTGCCTACCAGAATAACGACATTAATGAGTTTGAGAAGATTCTCAAGACAAATAGGTGAGTGCAAAACCTACTGTTTACTATTTACATCTCCAGAGGATACCTGTAAATCACAGATTTTAGGTCATCAAATCTGCCTGTTAGGTCACTTGCTACCAGCACAGGTTGAAGCCACTGCAGTTAGTTAATTAGTTAGTTTTTGCACTACAAATGAAGTCACAATTTCCAGCTGCTGTTCATCGTCCCTTACTGTTGACTTTGTTTTGTGTTGCAGGAAGAACATTATGGATGATCCCTTCATCAGAGAACATATTGAAGGTAAGACTTTACTATGACGTGTGTAAGTTGTGTGCTATAACTAGTGTACATGCAGGCTTTGCAGGCATTGACATGTTTTTGCTTTGAAAACATGTGTTGACTTGTACCACATAATATGGTTCATAGATTTTTACTGTATAGAGTTAAAACTTTTGATCCAACACCAAATGAGTTCTCTCACCTAGAGCTTTCGACCAGTCACTCTGGTCTTCCTCAGTAGACTGACCCAGTGAGGCTTGTCACGTGGCTTCTTTGAAGTGTGACGTCAACACTGGGTCAAAGGTATCTGGTCAAAAGCTCTAGGTGAGAGAACTTTTTTGTGTTGGACCAAAAGTTTTAACTCTCGAAACATGTAACTACCAACACAGAGAAGTCATTTCATTGTGTTCAGATGTGTACTTGTTGCTAATAAAGAAGTTATTTTTCTACCAGACCTGCTGAGGAACATCAGAACACAAGTCCTTATCAAGCTTATAAAACCCTACACTAGGATCCATATACCATTCATTGCTAAGGTAAGACATATATATGGAATTATGTAAGAACAATAGAAGGCTGGGACTTGACTTACTTCCGTAGACCTTAATATTAATCATTCTGGTCATCTTTGGATAGTAACTTCCTTTTGATCTAAAGAAACATCAAATTTGGACAGACCATCTATTGGATAAACTTTCTTCTCCAATATTTGATACTTCTTTCCCAAAGGAAGTTTGAACAATATGTAAAGAGCTAGATGTAATAGGTTGAAACAATAATTATCTATTTATGCTACATGTTTGTAAAATAGCCATGTCAAGGCTGGAAATACCGGGTGCAAGTGCACCTTATAATTAGTGCACCCAGATTTGGAGCTGTGTACCCAATTTTTTTTTGTTGGTGGACCATTATATTCTTACACATGTAAAGATGTTAAATGTATAAGTTACAGCATATTCTTAACATCTACATGTAAGTGTCAGAAAAAATAATACAATCATTGTTATACATGTAGTACTTTTCTTGAAATGAAACATGATTATAATTTCTGCTGACATTCTACTTACTAGTATTTTATCTTATAATTATATGTGGTGCACCTAAAATATTTCTGTGCACCTAATTTTTTAGGTTGGGTGCACCAGTGCACCTACATTGTATTCCCAAAATGAATGTCAAGCCCTGCATGTGTTAATCTGTACCTGATGAATGAGTGGGCAATTATGTGACTGAAACTGTTCTTGTGTTGCCAGGAGCTCAACATAGATGTTAGTGAAGTGGAGAGTTTGCTGGTGTCATGCATTTTAGACAGGTCAGTAGTCTGCACTGTGCATCTACACTCACTCTCAGGACTGCGAGAACTGTTGTTATCTGCTTATAAACTGCTGGGAACCTATTTTTATTTGCTAACTGTCTTTGTGATGCAAGCAGTAAGCATTACATTTCAATTTTGACTTGCTTTGACTAATCTTTGGTTGTGGTTACTTTTTTTTTACAGTAACTTCTAGTTAGAATTATGCAAAGTTCTTTGCTGGTGCAATGATTATTCTGTGATTGTCAGTAGTTTGCTGGTGTGATGGTTATTCTATGATTGAGTTGTTTGTTAATGATTCAGTGATTGAGAGTACATTTTACCTGTAGTTTGTGTGTGATGAAAAATGGTGTAATGAGTAGTTCCTTGGTTGTTGGTGTAATGTTGAGTGCCTAACCCGTGTTCCTCTGCGTTTCCCTGCAGTACAATAAACGGGCGTATAGACCAGGTGAATCAGCTGCTAGAGTTGGACCGCAGTACGCACGGGGCTGCCAGATACACGGCACTCGACAGATGGAGTGAACAGATCCAGTCCTTGCATCAATCCATTGCTAACAAAATGGCATAGAGACTCTCCCGGCCACCCCCACCTATACAGCAGAGTGGACTGTTCCATCCATACCCACAGCAAAAGTGTAGCGGTCCGAAGTGCTTCGCACAAAGATTGTTTAACTCCTGCTTCTCCGATGAGGACTGATAGACACGATGTTGTTCCGACGAACCATTTGTTGTTGCTGCCACTGCATGACTGTGGTGCATTAAAGTCTGTACATTCGATGGGTGGGCGGAATGTCCTAGTAAGGGCAGGGGAGATCATATGTGTGGGTTCCTCGTAGCTTTTTATCAGCGTCTTCTTGTGTAAAACAGACTCCTCTCTTCTGGTTTGGTTCTGGACCTTCTTTGTAAAATTACGTCTACATGATTATCCACTGTATATTTCAAGTCGCAAGTCCCCACATAAGATTCTGTCATTGTGTTGAACATGATGAAATGTTAGTTTTGTCCAGGACTTCTCAGTTGCCTCAGCATTAAGTGGAATGTTTGTGTCTTACCTTATAACAGAAGGCTCGTGGGGTTGTACAAAATTGTACATGTACACACACGTACCACGGTACCAGTTCCCAGCACAAATGTACCCTCTCTTTCTGTGCTCCATGTATGTTTACTTACCATTTTCTGCTCTATTCTTTATGCTGAAGAAGAGATTTTTTTAAACGCAATTCTCAACTGAAAGTAGACACTGTGGGTTTTGTTATAATAATTAGTTTTGGCCAGTTCCTCTCTGTTGACATTACTTACCACTAGGGCTGTTTGTAGACTGGCATTTGTGATTTCAGATCCAGAATGTTGCTCTGTTCTCCTGTTTTGTAAAGATGGGATAAAGTATATGGATGTAGTACAGGAATAATGACTGTAAACAAGAGAAAATAAAAGGTTCTGAGCACCAGAATGTTCCCAACATCTGTGAATAGTTTCATCAGGTTGGTAAGACACTGAGTAAAGAGACTCTTTTTACACAACCAAGTCTTTTATTCAGCCGAGTCTTTCATTCAGCCGACGTTTCGGTGACCGTCTGTCACCTTCCTCAGGGCAATTCTGACTGGTTCACATTGCACTGCAGCACAGGTGTCGCTGCTACAGATGCATCCCCAATGTGAACCAGTCAGAATTGCCCCGAGGAAGGTGACAGACGGTCAACGAAACGTCGGCTGAATAAAAGACTTGGTTGTGTAAAAAGAGTCTCTTTACTCAGTGTTCCCAACAGTTTGTTGCTTCCCAAGGCCCGCATGTTGATACAGGAATGTGGGCATCACCACTTCTCTTACTGTAGTTTCTAAGCAATTCCTTTTTGTATCTCATAACAAGTGAGAGAATTTCAGAAGAGGGCCTCATATCCGGATCTACAGTTTTGCAAAGTTCATTTGAAAACTCCCACATAATTCACACATTTGCTGCAAAGTAAACCAAAAAAGCCAGTACTGTGCTTTGCCATACTTACATGTTTCTACTGTCTTTTCTATGAAATAAGAGATGATATCAGCATGTCTGTTATCAAAGAGTTTTCTGCTGAAATCTCCGTATATGGACTACCCATCTGCCCTCATCTGACATGCACCGTTTTTGCCACAAGAAGTAATTAAATGCTATCATGAAAGTTCATCTGTGTTGGTTGTTACATGTTTGAAGTTAAAACTTTTGTTCCAACACAAAAAATTCTGTCACCAAGAGCTTTTGATCACCTTACATTGAACCACGACGGGGGGCGACATCGTCTACCAGATACCTTTGACCCAGTGTTGATGTCACAAAGAAGCCATGTGACAAGCCTCACTGGGTCAGTCTACTGAGGAAGACCAGAGTGACTGGTCGAAAGCTCTTGGTGAGAGAACTTTTTGGGTTGGATCAAAAGTTTTAACTTCAAACAAATAATTAAATGTTCTCTAATTAAACACATGGCAACAATGGAAGCAGTGGAATGTTCTGCTCGGAAATTGGATGAAAAATTATCATGTGAGGGCTTTTTACTGTTCTACCATCGAACTTGGTACATCATAGACGTAATGTTTCTTTGAGCAAAACCAGTGATATTGTTGGTTAGCCTCTACCAGGCTTTGGGAGGAGGCTGGAAAGAGTAGAAATTGGCCAAATAGAGAGAGATAACATGCTGGGGGTGTTGGTCCACTAGAGTCCTTTTTGCTGCACCCAACTCGCCTGGCATATTATCTCTGTATTTGGCCAATTTCTACTCTTCCCAGCCACCTCCCGAAGCCTGGTAGAGGCTATTGTTGGTCACTTTCTGTCTCTTCAACTGGAGTGCAAACAAATGTCGGCATCACAACTCTTATTTGCAGCCAATAAAACAAATTTGTAGCCCGACTTACTGGTTGTGTCAGTAACCTTGGCCTTGTTGAAATGTTTTTGTCTTTGAAAGCTAAGTTACTACAAATCCCCTGTCATGTTTTAAATTAGATATATCCTTGTTACAACACAGCGTTTGCCAGATGTGACGTTGGTGTTTAGAATTACTAGTATGATTGTTCCAGTTACTATAGAGATACAGCAGCCCAGAAAAGAACAAGAAACAGCCATGCCTTCAAATATCAGAGTTATCAACTAAGAATTGGGGTATTCAAAAACTTTATTCCCCCAGAACTTGGAATGGTCATTTTGAGTGAAGTGAGGAAAGTCGTGTTAAGGGCACAGGATCAGTGACAGGGTCGGGTTTGAACCCGGGACCTCTTGGTTCCGAGCCGAACATGCTACCGCTACGCCACACAACCCCATTTCCATACTTCATCAAACTTGACTGCTCCAGTATATAAAGTCAATGCCTGGAATGTTCGACTTGTCTGTATAAAATTGTCAAGAAAAGAAAGTGCATTTCATTAAAAGAAGCTGGAACATTGGAGAAGGAAAATCAGCAGCTTAAAGCAATGACAAGGAAGCAACAGTCGGTTTCCATTTTATGTCCATCTGGAGTAGCCTCTACCGGGCTTCGGGAGATGGTTGGAAGGAGTAGAAATCGGTCAAATAGAGCATGGAGTTAAAAGACTACCTAGTACCTCCATGAATAGAGAGATAACACGCCGAGGGAGTTGGTCCTCTAGAGAGAACATTTTGCCGCTCCCATGTTACCTCTTTATATGACCGATTTCTACTCTTTCCAGCCGTCTCCCGAAGCCTGGTAGAGGCTACGATTTCTACTCTTTCCAGCCACCTCCCGGAGCCTAGTAGAGGCTACAATTTCTACTCTTTCCAGCTGTCTCCCGAAGCCTGGTAGAGGCTAACTCTTTCCAGCCGCCTCCCGAAGCCTGGTACAGGCTAACTCTTTCCAGCCGTCTCCCGAAGCCTGGTAGAGGCTACGCCTGCAGGGCTGGTTTCTGTTTTTAAATCCCCCGCCTTTTCTGACGCATGCCGGGAAATACGCAATTGTCCCTAGAGGGTCTGGGGTAATCGATCACTTAGTTGAAGCCCAGATCCAACATGGCGGCTGGCGGAAGTAAGTTGGAGTAGTTGATGATCAACAGGGCGAAAATCATTTTTTCCCGGCCATCCCCAGATTTCCCGGGGACAGACTCAGCTCCCGGAGGCCCGTCTGTGAGCGCTGGATCAGCGGCGGGCCGAAACTAGCCGCTCCGACTGCAGAGGAGCTCCGAATCGGCCGCTGGCTTTTGGGGTGACCGACGGGGCCAGATATCGTCCACTTCCTGGTTTGGGTGGAAGTTTTGCGGGGACGGCAGTTCCCAGTGGAACGTCGGAAACTTGCGCCTCCTCTGCTCATCTCCAGGTAAGCTCAGGCCGTCACAAGCGCTGCAAGGTTTGGTAGAATTATCCTGATTCAGGGCGACGCGTTTTAGCAGCGGAGAGAAATTACTTGGGCAAATACTCGGGGGGTTCATTTTGGTATCTTCCAGATGTTGCAGGGTTGGGAGGGGCGGAAAGCACGAGGGGGAGGGTCAACAAAAAATAAACCTGCATCAAACGTAACGTTTCCTCCGCGTGGTGATAACAGTGGCACTGTGCAACTACAGTGGCTGTAGATGGAGCAAGGTGGCGGAAAGGGTTTGCTCGTTTACCGACGAGGAAATCGTACAAAACGAGTTTCACGTTACAGATTTTGGAAAGCAGAACAACTATCAAACTTCAAGATATACAAATCAAATCAAATCAACTTTATTGCTCAACAACTGTAGCTGGTACAATGTATGGCAACGAAACAACAATGGTACATACATAAACTTAAATACTAAGGTATAATTCTAACGAGCTAGTCCATAATGATACTAAAGCTAATCTATTGTGTTTTCTTAGACATGACGATGTACTGCTGAGGTTCTGTAAATCTGAATGAGTTTATTTGTCAAGCAGAGAGGGCTTCAAGTTCAACTGACAGGGGACAGAATCATGTTGCTTTTGTTGACAATGATAGTTTTTATATCTCAACATGGTTGTTGTGAATAAAAACAATCAGTACAGTCCCCATTAATTATGATTATCATTATCAAAATTATCTGACAATAGGAAATTAGGATATAGTTTTAAAAAAATACCAGACTCTTTTGCCAGATAGCTTTGTGACAACTGTCAGGAAAGATGAAGGAATGTATTTTTCTTTTACGAACTGAAAAACTAAAGCGACCAAGGTCAGTACCCAGCTGCCAAGAAGCGTGAATGAAAACTATGCCCACCGGCACCCAGTGGATAGGCTATATAGGGAGTTTTCATACAGGCAGGGTTGGAATCCTGACATTGTGCCTACGGGAAAGGCACTTACATGGATTTTCTCACTCACCTCAGGTGAAAAATTGAGTTCCGTATACTAGTTAAACTTAAAGTTAAACTTTAAAGGGGTCTCCCCAGAAATTTTTAGGGGAGAGGTGCTCCCTAATTGGTTGATGTCGCAAAAAAAAAAAAATCAGCGAATTTTCATAGATGTACTAAGAGAAAACCCTAAATTTGAGTAATTTGTGAGAGGTGCTAGGATTTTGGGGAGAGGAGGAGGCACTTAAGGTGGTTTACATTGTCATGCACAATTGCACAAAATTACTTTGTAAGTGGTACATAAAATGTTGTTAACCTAAACTTTGTAAAATTCTAACAATGATAGTATCAATGTCAAAAGTATTGATACTTAGGCTAGTTAAGCTTGCATTGCATACCATATTTTCTAGCAATAAATTGTACTAGCATACTTAATTTCTTTTTTTTACTTTGGCTAGTGATCCAAGTTCATCCATACAGTAACAGTTTAACAAAGTAAAACTTGCATGAGGACACTTATATTGAATTTCAATATCAATGTTGCCTTGTTAAACTGATTGTACAATGTTTCATCTCTCAGGTGTCAGATCATGGATCTAGAAAAGGTTGATTAGCTCTAAAAAAAGTATGTACTTGCTGGGATTCATTAAAAAAAGGCTAGGGTAAATGGCAGGTTTTCCTAGGGTTGGTCGGGAAACAGGAAACACAACATTTTTTTTCCTAGGCCCTACAGGTTACTGACAGGTTAGTGGCACACGTACTGTTGTCACATTTGGCTCACAGGAAATCCTTGTTTGCTGGGCAGAACTTGTGGAAGTTCTCACCTCAGGAATATCATGGTCTGGTCTGCACACGGACGCCGCACCAAATTTTAATGTAGTTTCTTCTTTCTTAATATTCTTTAATATAACTCTGAACTGAAAGACCAAAATACAGTGTGTTATTTTTGACCCAATATTTTGGTATGATTGAAAATGAGTCAATTTGCATGAGAGTAAATCTGAGTTTAAGGAGGATATTAGTCTGGTGTTTAGGGAAGTGGCCTTGTCCCTAGCAGGGAGGTGATGAACACACCGTTCCCTGAGCCATGCATCACAGGGCTGGAAATACTGGGTGCATGTGCACCTTAGTGCACCCAAATTTGCAGCTGTGCACCCAATTTTTTTCTCCCAAATATTTTCATAGGTTTAATGCATGTAACGTTAAAGATATTAAATATCTTAACATCTAAGTGTACTAATAATGGTACTTTCCTTGAAATGACATATAATCATAGACTAGTTTTTATAGACATTCTACTTATTTTATCTTATATGGTGCACCTAAAATATATTTTGTGCACCCAATTTTTTAGGTTGGGTGCACTTGAGTGCATGTGCACCTATTCCCAAAAATGAATTTCGAGCCCTGCATCAGAAGGTGTTGCCCTGGATGATGGATTGATTGTTTCCTGAGCCAAGGCCAAGTTTCCCTGCAGATAAGGCATGACTTAAGCTCCAGCTGTAAATAGGGTATGATACATGATGATGATTAATGATGGGAACATGCCATATTATATATGGTCACGTTAAGATTGCTTTATCATGTTTGGTTTGGTTTTTATAGATCTCCAATCTCCATTAGTGAATACGTTTTCCACTATTCTTCCTGGAGTCCAATTAAAACATACAAAATATATTATAACAATGGAATGTAATGAAATAGAATTAACAGAAGACTAACGCAAACTGGACTGAAAATGACGTTAGCAATCAAATTAATATTAATCAACTGTACAAAACAAAAGGTTATCCAACCAAATACAAATATCAAGTAGATAAAGGCTTTACAATGTATGTGCATCTGGATGTGACATACAATATAATAATTGTACTTCCTATCTGCAGGCCCTGAGGGGCAATGTGGCTAGAGAAGTAGATCAACATATTACTACATTAATCATTATTTTGCAATGCAGATTAGAAGCTTTAAAGTAAGTCAGTCTGGAAGAGAGTAGGGCATATCACTACTTACATGTATCAGTGCAACTTTATTTCAGTGATTGAATGGCCTGTCCATCAGTACTAGTATATAGTCTAGCTCAGTGCTTACTGTTAACAGGTTCCTCCAAGCTTTGGTTATAGCCAATGCCCTGAGGCCAACCTGAAGACTGAATATCATCATTACAATGCCAGACTTGTTATGCAACACTGATTTCTCCATAGTTCAGGACTTTGCAGAATTGCAGAGAGCTTTAGAGTTCAGCAGGAAAGGATCATGGCAAGGAAACTAACCACAGACTGTGTTCCTCTGTAGATTGGGAGAAGTCTGTGGTGCTGACTGTGGTGCTGTTTGTGATAGTCAGATTACTGGAAGATCCTCCATGCTTAATTCTTAGACTGTGTTTTTCTATCTGCAGGTTGTGAGAAAACTGTTGTGCTGACATTATGTTTGTTTGTTTGTTTGTTTGTTTAATACCATACTGTGTTTTTCTGCAGGTTGTGAGAAAACTGTGGTGCTGACATTTCTACACTGGTCTGGCAGCCATGTCAGGGGTAAGTATTCTGAATCAGTTATACGTACTATGGGGGGGGGGGTATATGACAACTAATGGTAATAAAAGATTAGCCACAAAAGATAATGTTATTACAGCCAATGTTACCTCAGGGCTGTAAAGAACTTTACACGTCAAATACAAATAAACCAAACTATCTACATGTGTAACCTGAATGTGTCACTCTAGAGCCTTTGATAATAGCTGTTTCACTCCTTCACATATAGCTAGAACTACTAGTAACCCTATTCCAACACAAGGATTACACAGAGATCAAATTTTCAATGATCTTCTTCAGGATAAAAACTGACCAATCACTTTAAAACAGACACGTGACCTTATTCACACCAGACTTTACTGTGCCCCCTGTACTTTAGAGTAGCGTGCATAGTCCAGTGGTTAGCGATCTTGCCACTGGACTAAGAGGTTGGGAGTTCGAATCCCAGCTGATGTTGCTCACCCAACATGCACGCTACTGTTTATGATCGCAGTCCTTAGGACGGAACGTTAAGCCTGTTCATTGTGCTTGACGAAAAGAGCTAGGGGAATTTCCCCGGTACAATGAACCTGTAAATACTGTAAAGTAGATAGCGTCTGTCTTCTCTGTCACGACTAGTGGAAGATTAGCTCTTCAGTGAGCTAAACTGGTTCGAGATCTTTTTCACTTTCTTTCTTCCCCCCCTTGTGTTGGAATAAAGTTCAACATTTTACTATGATTACTACCAGCACAGATGAACGTCTATGATAGCACTAACCCTGTCCTGTTTCTAACCCACTAGGGTAGTTGGGTGCCCGGCACCGAGTGTCTGGCTAAATACAACTTCCTGGGAAACAGTCAGGACGATCTACCGTTCAACAAGGGAGAGATTCTTACCATTGTTAAAAGTACTAGGGTGAGTTATCATATCATATGCATCATAATTTTTATCATATCTATATACATATAAATTATCTACCATTCGTTCAACAAGGAAGAGATATCATTGTAAAAAGTACAAGGGTGAGTTATTATATCATATCATATCATATCTATATAGTATTAAATATAAATTACCTACCGTCCAACAAGGGAGAGATAATCACCATTGTTAAAAGTACTAGGGTGAGTTATCATATCATAATATAATTATCATATCACATCATATATCATATCACATCATATATCATATCATATCTAAATAATATTAAATATAAATTACCTACCATTCAACAAGGGAGAGATTCTTACCATTGTTAAAAGTACTAGGGTGAGTTATCATATCATATCATATCATATCATATCATATCATATACATATAAATTACCTACCATTCAACAAGGGAGAGATTCCTACCATTGTTAAAAGTACTTGGGTGAGTTATTATATCATATCATATATATTATAAAATCATATCTACATGTATATACATATAAATTACCTACCATTCAACAAGGGAGAGATACCATTGTAAAAAGTATACTAGGGTGAGTTATCATATCATATCATATATCATATCATATATCATATCATATACATATAAATTACCTACCATTCAACAAGGGAGAGATACCATTGTAAAAAGTACTAGGGTGAGTATATAATATGTAGTATAATCACCTACCTTTATTCAACGAGGGAAAGATATAATTATTAAAAGTACAATGGTTGAGTTGTCAAGATATCTTCATCAGAGCAGAAAACCTCTAAGACAGTGCATGCACTCATGTTCAGAATTATTACTCAAAATTATGATTCATGAATTTCTGAAAATATGATCATCATCTGCTGAGACGATAGATGACCTTGACACTGAATTGGTGAAGAGATGTATGACCTTGAACAGTCTTGTACAAGCCCCGGCATGTATGTTCCTAATAAGGTCATATATAATCTTAACTTCTGGTCCATATTTATTATTTAGGAAAGCAGTTTTGTCTCCAGGCATAGTTATTAGACTCCTTGTGTCTCTATTTCTCACCTAATGGACTAAAATACTACTTTGCTTTTCAACTTTTTTAAACCTATATGTAAGTTACATTGTAGATTGTAGTTTTAGACAGATCACACAAAAGACAAAAAATCACACCATGTAAATATCCCCACCTATATGTTTCTATTTTACTAAGTTGTAATGTACCTCCAACTCCAAGGTAGCAAGTATATGGAAAAACGATGCGGGCATGTTCATGCTCATTAATGTTACTTGTGAAAGACTCGACTCTGAACAAGAGATACTGAGAACTTATGAAGTATTGATTAGCTATTTTATTGATTAATTATCAAATATCTGACAGATTATTTTGTTCCCCTGCAGGACCCGAACTGGTACCGTGCGAGAACGCAGGACGGTCGGGAGGGGATGATTCCCGCAAACTACGTACAGAAACGGGAGGTCGTCAAACTCAACGCCATGCCGTAAGTGCAGTTGTACAACCCTGCCATCTTACCTAGGAAACTGTGTCAGAGTTTTCACTTTGTAAAGTTAACCCATGAACTTATTCCGTAGCAGGTTGGAGAAGTCCTGACAAAACTGAAAACTTAAGGCAAAATGCTGCCCAGGGATATGTCGGAGTTTACTTGTTCTTGGGAGGTTGGAATTGGTATAAAAATTCGAAGAGACGTAGTGAGAGTGAGAATGAATGAAGTTTAAGAAAAACACAGAAAACAATACTTTAATTCTGATAACCTGGAATAAAAACTGCTCCAAATGACAAGACTTGTCTCAAGATGTGTTAGTATACATTCAACTTTTCCCTGTAAAATGTCTGAATTTCTAAGGAAATAAGTTTCTTGGCCAAGTCAGCAGTGACAGGATGTTCAGTGTCTGGAGAAAGTTTTTGTATTTCCGTCAGTCAGACATGAGGTCAGGCTACATGTTACTATAGTATGAATGCTGGTTGCAGAGTACATTTGTGTACATGTGGGTCCTGGCATGAAGGTTTCCTTCTATCTAGCCTGCCTCAGGGCAAAGCACTTGTACTTGTAGTCATTAAGTTAACTTGTGATACCCAGTTTTAGATTACACTGCTTGGGGGGGGG